GACTGATGGCGCGGGCGCCTCCTTGACGCTCTTACGTCGTCATTTTATATTAGCACGTATTATCTGATTTCATTGTGCGAAATGATTTCCAGGTGGTAGCGTAAAGTGGAGCTCAACTCTAGTCTACGTTGGCGGAGTAGTGGGAGTGGCCTGCTGAGCATTGCAATGCACTATGGGGATTGTTGTCTACAATCCACAAGCACTAAAAAGTCATTTTCTACCTTTTATCGGCCAAGAAGGACTTAAATGAGAAATTTATGATACTCTTCTACTACATACAGTATATTGCCCACTTTTAATAAATATTCATGTCTCCACCGGTGGAATTACCCTTTAAGCAAATGCTGTTAATCCAGTGAAAACGGCAGTAGTGATTGCTAGGACAGTCTTCTTGGAGTAACCTGAGGTTAAATGAGTGCGAAGGGCACAGTGGTGATGGAGAAGGATTGCAATCTCATTAACTTCAGTCCAAGGTTCACACCAATTTGGGACTGAACTTATAACCTTTTTGTTAAAGCCCAGAACCCAGAACAATTAGCATAGCAACATCATTAGACTACTGTCACTTTTTCAGGTAGCATTTTTCTCCTTGCACTACTGGCAGTCACCACTATCTGAACTAATGCTCAGTCAGCAGACAGCTGTGGGACTTTTACTGTTTGTATCACTGCTTGTCTGCTCCTTCGACAGACCGGCTCCTTCTGCTCCTAACATACAACTAGTGACTGTCTTTCTAAGTGAGCATTCATTCAAACGGTTCTTTCAAAACACTGATTTATTAATCAATGAAACAAGTGACTGTTTGAGTCATTGAGTCACTCACTCAGCTGATTAGTTCAAACACACTGATTCGTTCTGAAGCACCACTACTTTGTGTTGCAGATTTAGTTTAAAAAAAACGAATTGCTTTATAGTAATTTTTCAACTAAATTAACCTTTTCTCACCTTGGCTGAGCTTGCTTTAAATCACATAACAAACAAAGGTTTGGCAAACGTAAAGGAAATGAGCCTCAGGCTGAAGGAAATGCAAATTTACGGCTGTACAGTAGACAGTGCAGCTCAACAAACCTTTCAGCTGTGCTGGCATTTTGGATTGCAGAAAAGAAGAGACAGGAGAAGAAAGATCAACAGTCTAACAAAAAAAAAGGGAAAGTCATTTTTGCTTAGTGGGATGGTTGTGTTGGATCATCGAAGTTCAGCAGCAAAGACACTTTTGAAAAAGAAACTAAATTTAAAAAGTAATGTGTTACTTTACTTAAAGTAATCTGATTACCCCCAACACTACACAGAAGTACAGGCTACAGGCACAAACCTAGTCGTCTTCAACTTCATGGAGTTGGGGAATTTGTGGCAGGGCTGCCATTCAGCAAATCGCTTATTCAAATCCAAAGCACAAAATCGCATTGCCCAATACGGTCTCATGTGTCATCTTTTCTCAAACCATGAAGGGTTTATGTTTGGGGAAAGCCAAAGAATGCTGTTGGTTCACATCTGTGACCAACCTGCTGGGGATCCACAATGACACATGCAGGCTTCTCCAGGAATAATTTGGTTTGAAGCTTGCTATCCATTGTAGATGCTCTCTAAAATTGCTGGGTTGTTTTAACCCAATTTGATAACTTTGTCAAATATGGACAAACCTAGCCATTGGGTTACATTATTTTTAAATTACATTTTTAACCCAACCTTTTGGTTTGTCCATATTTGACCCAAAGTTGGGTTAAAACAACCCAACATTCTTAGTGATTATTTAAGATAGGGGTAATTTTATTTGATTTAAATCCACCTTATTCCTGATGACCTTGTGTTTTGAATTATGGGTGGAATTCCGGTTTGGGAAACTTCCATTCAAAAAGGCTGAAACCAGTCATTTCAAATCATAAGATTGCCCTACAAATACAGCTGATCCGTCAGTTTTGTTGGTATTTTACCATGACATGTTATAAGAAGAATATCTGGCAAGAGCTCTTTTCAGTCGCTGCTTTCTTTTCCTCGTTTCTTTTTTCTCTTTGCAATCCGCTGGAAAAGTATGAAAAAGGACAACATACGGCACATTTGTGGTCTCTTCTCCCGAATTTAATTTACGATATTCCATTAATAACTTACTGGAATGCACAAATAATCTCTCGTTATTCTCCTCAAATCCTCACGTCTCTTTGTTTTAACAGGTAAATGCAATTGATAATCTGTCAAAATGACAGAAATCACTAGTATCACGTGATGCTGTTAGTTAATGAACATTTTTGATTAAGGCTTGTTATACAATACAATATTTGCCTAATACAGTGATATTTAACCAAAGACTGGTGCTTTGGGGCTATTTTTGGTCTGTTGAATGTACCTTGTTGATGCTTTTACACTAAAATTTCTTGGGTGAGTAGATTAATGTCATCTCATTGTGACACTTTTTTACTATTTTCCATTCATAGAGCGAGCCTTTCACTGATTGTTTACAGCTTAACTGACTTTATACCCACAATTTGAGAAAAGCATCATGGGGTGTAAGAATAAGGTGGATAATATTTATTTGACTATATAGGATGAGCATGAATAGCCTTATTCTTCTAGAAAGGTCAGTATTGCACTGCATTTCAGGACTTAACCTTGTATTAACCGTACTTCTCTTAGAATAGCCTGAAACATGATGGAGGTTTTGCCTTGATGATTTATTCATCCAACAATCAAAATTCTGTGATTTATTTTATTTTTTTCATGTTTGCACATTTCGACCTTGGTGTGTGCCACATTTATGAGGCATTTAGAAATGGGAGCTCTAGTGCAAGTTCTACTGGGAAGACTCTAATATCAAGTCATTCATTAATCAGAAATCTAGCCAATCACCACTCGACATATGGAGTACTGAAAGGGATACTTCAGGATTTAGCATTAAGCTTTGTATTAGTAGGAAACCTGTAGTATTTTCACATTACCGTGCTTTCCACCCTCATATCCCCCGAGACAAGAGATTTATGTATTTTTTGTCTGGAAAAAATCCTCTGATGACACAAAAATTTAAATTTTTCTACACATGTTTAACATTGCCAAGAAAATTCACGCTCCTCCGTGAGAGATACGAGACCGGTGCGTCTCACAGGTTTCGCTCATCGTAATCACGCCACCGGCCTCGTGCCGTTCTCCCGCGGCCCTCACTCGTTCTGCTTGCCATTGTAAACATGATGAATTATGACTGTAGAATGCAAAAGCCGAATCCCAGACATTTTGAGCGATCTCGAAACACATTTTCGGGCAGACTCATCACGTAGTCTCACTAGTAGCCTAGTACTACTGCGCTCTGTTACCGGTACGTGTGGCTTCCTAGGGCAGCGAAGCAAGTGAATTCTGGGAGTTGTTGTCTTTCATCCACATAAGCCAAAAATAAATTTTTCTGGCTTTTCTCAGTCTAGAAAACTCAAAATTCAAAAATAATTTCACATTTCATTTACATAAATGACCCATTTTAAATACACATTCATCTTTCCAGAGATGAAGTATCCCTTTAAGCCCAGTTAACACCCATTAATACGTTTTCAGAAACTGATGCCAGCGTCCACATGAAACATTTTGAACTCTAAAACTGCTAGAAATTTAAAGCCATGAATCTAAATAAATTGAGCTCCAAGTTTGAGGTTGATAATGGCACCTTTTGGTTAAAAAAATAGTATTTTTTTCTATTATTATGAAGCCTTGCCAACAGAATGAAAGCCTACAAAGCTTACTACTATTTTTTATTATTATTAAATGACCCTGAGATTAAAAATAGCATTTTTTTTATTGGGTTTCAATGGGTACGTTTTTGTCCTGAGTGTAGCTATTTTGTGCTACTGGTGTCAAATAGATTTATTAAAGGAAATGAGGGTGAAATAGTACAATTCCAATAAAAATACACACTTGTGCCAAAAGGTATGCAGTTGACATTAACACAGGCAAAATGATTAAAAAAATATCAAAACTGAAAAAGACAAAATGCCATAAGGGCGCACAAAGGTTAATTTGGAACCAGTGTTTCCTCCAAGGAACAACCCATTACAGCACAAGTTGTAATGTCCAATGCAAGAACAAATTACTCTTATTAACCGCTTTTTAATGAGTTATTTAAAAAGATTTACAAAATATTCTCCAACTTGTTAGTGAGTTTGCAGTTTGAATCAAACTTAGTCCGTCATTTAACGTGTCATATTTCCGTCATCCTCAATTCAAAATGAACTGGGAACCGTTAATATGATATATATCAGGTTTATATTTCAGGTTTGTGAGACTCAGTCATAGGAGTTAAATGTGTTATTTACATTTATTAAAAAATGTTGTTACTTGTGTTCGTCATATGAAAGGAGAATGATGACGTACAGAAAATAAGTCATGCAAGAAATTATTCATTTATGCATGATTAAAAATGAACCGAGAACTGTGATGTTTTTTTTTTTTTTTTAGGTTTGTGAGATTTCAGTTTTCTGACTCATATAACAGTGTGTAATTAACATTTGTTAAAATAAGCTTTATTTGCGTTCTACACATGAAAGGAGTCATACAATACAGAAAAAAAAGAATTAGAGTCGTTTTTCATGAGAGTTATGTCTAATTCAAAATAATGATGTTGAATGTGTACTGAATTTGAGAGCGAGTAATTAATATTTGTTCTAAATAACTTGATTTGTGTTTCATATATAAAAGGAGTGAAACAGAATGATGTTTTGAATTGCATGAAGTGGGTTTTCATTTTTTTTTTTTTTGGTAAACTATCCCTTAATATCTGCCCTTTATATCAGTTATTAGCTTTAGGTCAAAAGCAACAAAAAGTTGTGTTGAATTTCTTCAATGGAGAGATAATTTGTTCTATTAGGACGCTTGACTCGGCTGTATGAAGTCTTTTCTCATTGTAGGACCTCAAGGTCTCCTGAGTGCTTTATCATAAATCAATCTTTTGTAATAAGGCACTTTTTTGGTCCTGGGTAAATGAAGCAGACAGTTTCACTGACATTTGCACTTTTTCTCTACTGTTCCAGCTCCCCATTCTCCAGAACCGGCTGTCGACCACGTGAGACAGATAAAACAAGAGAGAATAAAGGTGAAATTAAGGGGAGGTGAGTGAAGAGAGAGAGAGAGTTTTCATGCAGAAACAGGTGCTTTGCTCTTCAGCCTTTTTACGAATTTCTACAGTTGATTTAGTCATCAGAACCTGAACATCATTTTAATTAACCTGCTTAATGAAACCACGCTCATTCCTCTCCTGTGGTTTAAGGGGTTATTTGAGGTATCTAATCTTCATTGATCTTTTGAGATAAAAGAACTTGACGTGCTATGAAAACATATTGTAACTTTCAGAACTCAAAACTTCATCCTCAGCACACTTAAAAGGCTTCAAATTCAAATTTAAGCTCTGAATTTTTTTTTATCAAATTTACCAAAATTTTTAAAAAAAAAGGGAGTGAGAAGTTCTCCATGTGATCTACTGATGATGACACACACATTAAAGAACACAGACACAGCCGAATCATTTCCATAATGACCAACGCAATCTACCAAGAGCAGAGCATCTGGTTTCAGACATGCTTTTTTGGGTGGTAAATAATGGTGCAAATACCAGTAAATTGACGAGAGCAAACCTTAGTAAATCACCTTGCATGATTCATCACTTTTTCCTTTTGCTATGTTTTTATTTTATTTTATTTATTTTTTTGCATTGGTGCAAGCTGTATTAGCTATGTTGTATGCAAAAATATTAATTTTGTCAGAGGATGCAGCTCATTTCAAAAAGAAAAAGATACTGTATAACCACATTGCGTACAACGTAAAAAAGTAAGTAACCTGGTTGCCTTAAAATGTTAAGTTCTTTGAAATGGAAAAAGTGAGCTAATACAATGAAGGAGAATGATTTAATCATCAGAAACTCAAAATGATATGTTATCTGAACTAAATAAATTATTTAAGTTGATTTGACAAAAGAAAAAAATGTTGTGATTACTAATCATGAAAAGATTTTTTTTTTACAGCGTAGTTACATAAATTCACCATTAGGGGCTAATGGGTTAACTTTGCTAAATAACTCAACCATGGTGGAAAATATAGAAAAACTAATAAACATAGAAACTAAAAACTAAAACTTTACGTAAAAACGTTACAATTGTAATGTTAGTCGTATGAAAATTTAAGATTTTTAGAAAAAAAAAAACCTAAGCTCCACCAGTCTACCACCACAACCCTCTGTTGTAAGCAGGGTGTAAGCAGATCTTTAAAAAATGTGCGAATGAGATCATACAAATTCACTACCATTTCGCGAAAATGTGAAATATTCACGAATTGCCATTAGAGTATGATGAACTTTACTAACGTTACAAGCAGACCACAGTGGGGAAAAGTATATGAACCCTTTAATCCAATGATATTGTGCCGAATGTACCAAGAAGTAACTCCATGCTCAATAAAAGAAACAGACATCCTTCATTTGACTTCAAGTCATGTAGAGATTGGCCTACAAAAAATCACCCATTAAAACTCGCTGATGACAACAGAACCCTGAAACGCAGCAACTTGAAATTCTTTGAATTGCAACGTTCATCAGATTCACATTCAGGCCCGAGTTCTTTTGTATTGCTGATACCCTATTTTCATTCTGTCATTCCTCACAGTAAAGATTCAGTCATCAACGCTCAGCTCACATGATGAAATAAAGGTATTCTCCCATGTGTAACAGCCACAACACGAAACGATCAAAGCAGTGTGTGCAGGGCTCATATACGGAGGCACAGAGGACGGGAGGCTGAGCGTTGGGCTGGAACACAATTATCACAAAGGACAACTGACAGCCTCACTGTTGTGTGCTTATGAAAGTACTAACAAAAGTGCCAAGGTTCACTGGTATTGTATTTGTGCATTGTGTTCGTCTTGTTCATTTCAAGAAAGAAAGATTGAGAATAGAGAAAGACAGAAAAAAATATTATAGACCGAAGGTATCCCTGCTATTGCCACATTCATGTTTAGTTTATGTCTTGTTTAATATTCATTCTTAGTTCTCTTGGCCACCGTTTACCTTATGCCTGCTGCTGCAGACCCTGTAATTTTGGCAATCCTATAAGATCATTACAAATCACACTGTACGACATGGATCTAATAAATTTGGGTCCGACATGCTTTAGGGCTGCAAGATATTCAAGAAAAATGCGACATGCGATAACTTTTCTAGAAAATTTGCTATTCAAAATGCGATTCGATAGTGCTTTAAGTGTGTTATATTTTTTAAATCTGACAATGTAATTTTAACAAAACAAAAAAACAAAACAAAAAAAAATTAAATACCAACAAATATTTGCTCAACTTGGTAATATATTGTTATATCAACCTAAAATTACATTTTAATATATTAAAATATATCACTGTTATTTTAAATTGTAATATTTCACAATATTACTGTTAGCACTGTAATGGTACAATAAATTACAATAAATAATTTACAAAATTTACAAAAAATACAAAATCTTACTGACCCCAAACTTTTAAACAGTGTAATACATAATTGTTGTGCCTTTTATTTATTGGAAATATGCAAATATATAAAGATACTATATTCGATTTTTATATAATGACCTTATTTTTATGATAATTAAGCAGGTTTTACAAAATTACAGACATTTGTCAGTGTTTTTTAACTTTTACGGAAAAAATAAATGTGATAAAATTATTTGTTCTATTTATATCAACATACACTACAGGCAATAGAAATGCTTCTATTTTACGATTTAAATATACGATTTAAATAACGTATCACAGATTTTTCACATTACAGTAATAAAAATGGCTTTTACCTTACCGTAATGAGAATTGGGGTGGAAATTTGGATAATAATGTACGTTTTGTGAGATGCACCCTGAAGGTTTCGCCTATCTGAGATTTGTGACAATTTTGTGAGAAAATAGAGGAAACAGAGACAAACGTTCTCCAGCAAGTGAGGGTCTGTTTTGGTAATGGCAGGGGAAGGCTTCTGTATGTGTTATGAGAGAGGCACATGCCAAGGATAGCAAACAGCTTTACCACAGTGGGGTTTCTCTATGGACATATGCCTTCAGGGATGCTTGAGCTTTTAATATCAAGTTGGCTGAGGAAGTGTATCATTCTCTCAGAGACTATCTAAAAGCTCTGTCTAAAATAAGGAGAGGCTGAGCAGATGTTGGAGGGTATGTGATTCAATGTGTTTGTATGCGTATCAACGTGTGTGATTAGGAAGGATGTGTGTACTTGAGTAGATGTAAAAGTAGACCTTTCTGGCTGCATCTTATGCAACCGTACATTACGGTATTTTCTTTACAATTAAGTAAATTTACACCACAATTCTCATTACCGTAATGCAAAAAAAAAAAAAAAAAAACTAACTGTAATGTGAACAAAGAATTATATATTTTTTAAATTGTAAGATATATATACATAATGGTATTGCAATGTATTTCAAACATTTAGATTCAGAAAGATCTTTTAAAAAAATCAATACTTTTATTTAGCAAGGATGCAATGACAGTAAAACCTTTACATTGTTCACTATTTAAAATAGATGTTGTTGTTTGAAACTTTCTTTTCTTCAAAAAAATCCTCGAAAAAAAAACCATCACCACGGTTTTCACAAAAAATATAATAATATAATATTTAGCAGCATAACTATTTTTAACAATGATAATAATGATGTAAGAAATGTTAAGAATAAGAAATATTGCTTGAGCACCCAAGGGCATATATATATATATATATATTTATACACTGTATATACTGTGTGTGTATGTGTATATATATATCAATCAATCAATCAAATTTCTTTATTCAGTCATGATGTTATTATAGACACAACAATAATCTCCACAACAACAAAATAATAACATTCATTTTACTGTATCAAATTTAAGAGAATTCTTTCAAAAATATTACAAAAACCTTCCAAGTTAAAAACACCCAGATGATTTGGAGATAAAATATGCTTAATTCTTAATTCTATGCTAAGTATAAAGTTGAAGTTAGTCATTGTCTCCAAAAAAAAAAAAAAAAAAAAAAAAAAGAAAAATTAAAACAGACCTTAAAATGTGTGTTAATGGAAGTTTTTCATTGGTTAACACACACACACACACACACTATTTTCATTGCATTAGATGACTAGACAATTTTTATCTGATTTATAAAAAAATATATTTAACAAAAGTTTAATATAAGCACACTTTCATTCAGAACACTTCATTAAGTGATTTGTACAGTGCTTAAACGATAAAACCACAGCATTCGGAAAGAAAAGAGGAAAAAAGTATTGGACACTTTTGATTGCCGGAAAATTTGTGGAACGTGCCTATAGTTAATGTGATGAACTATAACTGGTTACTCTGCTACTACCTGTGTGAACTCGAGGGGAACTGACTTTATACAGCCACTAAAAATCACCTTGAAACCAACAGTGATTGGTATACGCACAATGGTTTCCAGCATGCGGTTAAAGGCGTCTGGATCAGCGAGTTTTAGCCGGGGTCAGATTAGACTGACAAACTGTAAAATCCTAAACTGCTGGGAACAGGCCATGGTTTATTTTGCATGGGAAGAGATTAGTGTCAGGAGGAACGCACTTCACTCTCATGATGGGATGGCTTTGCATATTTCCCTGTCATCCCTTCAGGGTCAGTTCCAAATGACCAGCCGTACTCATTCCAATCCAACTAACACCACTCCAGCATCCCGCAGACACATTACACGTACATTTTCAAGGGTTTTACTATATCCACCCTGCACATTTGCTGATGGTCCATTCAAAATGAACCCTTCATCTCTAAAGCCTAAAGACTTGAGAAGTAAAGAGCTTAAATGCACCGGCCACTCTCATCCTGAGAATGTTGAAAGATAAGAGTGTGTACAAAAATGGCTGGCTTGACATTGTTGAAATTGGCTCTGATCATTGATTTGCACCAATGCATCCAGGGTCCCATGCAAAAACAAAGTCCCTTAAGCCACATTGACCCAACCTTTAAATATTCTGTAAGATTTCCTGGTTATTTTTCTTTTCTATTTGTAAGCTGTCTCGCCACTACGGATCAAAGGAGCAATTTTTTTTTTTTTAACCATC